TGATTCACCTGGAACCGTGGTCCAGTGGATAAATCGTTGTCGTTCAAGATACTGAGTCAAGCTCGTCTGGGGAAGGTTAGCACTTGGATGGGTGACCTAAACATTATACCTACTCGCGGTTTTGCTCCTTTTTTCGTTAATAATTTTTTGATTTTTTAAATAATAGAATATAGAATAGCGTTAGCATTGTTGAATCTGAAGTAAAAATCTGGCAAATAAAAATGACTTAAAGTTAAGGTGAAGGCGATCTATCACGGGGTATTGACGGACGCCAACTTTATTAATAAAACATGGTTGTTCACTCGCGGGAAGATTTGAAGCCTTATTATCCAAAGTGAGTAGATAAAGAAAGATCTTTTCAATTCACGGCATCTTGAACTTTCTTGGTCAGTTAATACCCCCGAGTTATTCCTATTCCTGTACTGAGCCTTGAATTTCAGCAACTAACGAAAGAAGAATATGCATAGACATTCATTTCCGACGCGTGATTCGCAGCCCCACCCCCAATCAATCACTTTGATAAATTAGACATTGATTGGCAACTGTCACTTGAACGTAAATCAGACTTTACACTGGATCTCTGTAACATACACCTAATTCAAAAAACGTTGTCATCGTCATGTCATTCCGACATGGAAATGATTTCGTCGAATACAAAGAACATCGAATCAGTCTCAGCACTAAGGCTCATGCTCTTGACGAGAAGAAGAAGAAGAAGCACAAGTCATTCCAGCTATTCTTGGATCTTGGAATGACATATATCCTATCGCGGCGATGACAACGTTTTTTGAATTAGGTGTATATCCGCACAGGGTTATTGCAGTGAAGATCCCTGCGTAATATTGCGCAATTTTGGCACGCAAAGCCACAGGCAACCCAGTAATAAAAATATTTTTAAATATACTTTTATTTTTCATATTAAGGTATGTTTCAATTTACAAATACATGTATCTAATACCATGACATTTCTACATTTCAATAGCTAAATGTACCAACATTAATAGAAATTTCCAAACCCACAATATATAAGTTTTAACATCTCACATAAACAATTTTAAAGCAGCTACAGATGGTCATAACCTGTTGAATATTTCTGTATTGGTATATCCTCGTCTTCTTGATGAGCTTTATAAACTTATCACATTGACAAGATTGAAAGTGGGACCCTTTGTTTGCTTATCTCTATGTATCCAGTGGATAATGAACCAAACCACTTTAATTTTTAATTCACTCTTGGTATTTAACTAAAGTTTTGCTACTAGCTTCCTAAGCAAAACCATCACCTACAAGCTGAAATTTGTTTTTTTGCTGCCGTCAATCAAAAATTATCAGTCTGTACCTTTTATGTCTTGACTGGCAGCAGAAAAAAAACAATTTCACAACAAGCTGTTGGAATATCTGAGTGCGCAAAATATTCACAAACCACAGTAAATTTATTTTTACAATATTATGAGCTGGTCTCATTCATAAATTTAGTACTTGGATTCCCTTTGAAATCACTGTTTTTAAGAATATGGAATATTTTGTTTGATAAAATCATAGAATGATTAATTCAGTTAAAAATAACTTCTGTTCAAACATGGCCTGATGGTAATTGTTTCAGTAAACCCATGATAAACATTCAAATATTTTTTACAATATATGTTATTGAAAATTAGTTATTTGATTTTGTTCCATGGGTCAAATCATACCATCAAAACTATTATAAATGTCAAAGATTCTTAATAATTTTTGGAAGAGTAAAAAATGCAACCCTTTTCAAACATGCAGAGGGTTTGTTTCTCTGCTATCCTCCATTCAACATATACTTAGTTTTATAGATAAAATTTCTGTAATTCTTTTTCCAGATATTATTTTATTATAGACAGGATGACTGCCATTTGGTTCTTAAGAACAATATGATTTAGAAATATAAAAGTGGATATTGAATAGCACCCTTCACAGGTCCATGTGCCATCAGGGAAGTGTGCCTCATCTAAGCAAGGATGTCTGTGACCTTGCAATGATAGAAACCTTTTAAAACCTTCAATAATCATTAACAGGTTTTTCAAGATGCAGCAGGGAACTGTGAAGGGGATTATTCAGAAAATATGAAACATTATACTGTGGTCTCCACAGAACTTTGACTGTCAGATAGCCGGTAATCCAGATGATCTAGACCTGAAGAAGACGGAGGATCTGAAACCACCTCTGTGCTCTTTCCACTGCTGCTAGATTTCCTGGAAGAGAATAATCGTCTCTTGTCATGTGGAGTTTTAGATTTGTTCTTCCTCTCTCCTGATCCTCCTAAAGCAAAAGGTCGCTTTATTTTATGAAGCATAGAAAATGGCTTGCGCCGTGTCTTTGGTGAGTTAGGTTTCACAGGTGCAATATCATCATTTACTGTTACGGATGAGTGCAATACTTGTTCTGTATAAGGAGGGGGTTCACGATGTACAGTTTCTTGTGAGGTATATGGAGGGCACTTAGAGCTCCACGGTTCCTTTGCAGCTGCAATTTTATGTACTTCTAAGAAACTAGAAGAGTATCGACGGTCGTGAGATAGTCTGGGTGTGGGGAGTGACCCAGAAGCACCTTCTCCATCATCTTGTGAACTAACGTCATGCCTTGAGCCCTGCGTAGAGCTACCAGAAGAAGATATACTCTCTTTTCTTGTGATGACCTCACAAACTAGAGACGTAGTCTCAGGGATTTCTGCTGGTGTAGAGACCCTTCGCTTCAGTGCACTTGTAAAACTATTGTCATTCATTCGTACCACACTGTATGCTTCTAAGGCTTTCATGATCTTTGTGTGACCTGGGTAAAGAAGAACGGGGTAAGATACTGTTAATGATCAAGGGGAGCTACTTCTGCAACAATAAAAAGATAATTGCTAGAAAATTGAAAAGGAGTTACAATTACTTTTTATTTTAGAATCATTTTCAGGTGTTGAAAGTGGAAAGATGTATCTAATTTCCCTGAAAATTTAAGATAAAAGCTTTACAACCCTTTTGCAATTTCTCCATGTATAGGTTTTGGAAAAAATATCTAGGTGCTTACCGGCCTCTGAAGCAACTTGCATTGGTGTCCGTCCAAATGTGTCTGTGTGGTTCATGTTTGCACCATTTTCTAACAAGATCTGTGCCACCTCGTCATGTCCCTCTTGACATGCTATACTCAAAGCAGTAGCTCCTTCTGAAGACACTTTATCAACATCAGCACCATTGTCAATCATCAGTTGAATCACTGAATTCTGGCCTTGCCATGCTGCAGACATCAAAGCTGTCCGTCCAAAATTGTCTCCAAAATTCACATCAGCATTATATTTCAGAAGCAGAGCAACAAGGTTGTAGTTTCCCTGCCATGCAGCACCTTGTAATGGAGTTCTTCCATCATTATCCACACAGTCAACAGTAGCTCCATGTCTTAACAAATGTTCAACTATTTCTTCACTTCCTTCAATTGTGACAGAAAACAGAGCCGTCCTGCCAAGACTATCGACTCCATTGATATCAGCTCCATTCTTTAGTAATACATCAACACTGTCGAAATGACCTTCCATTGCAGCATAATAGAGAGCTGTGCGTCCTTCTTTAGCTTCTTGATTGACAGGTGCACCAAACATCAAGAGGGTTGAGACTGCTTTACTGTGCCCTTCCTGTGCTGCAATTATCAAGCATGTTTTGTTTTCTTTATCTCTGTCGTTCATGTGAATGCCAGCTTCCAACAGGGCTTTGACAACTGAGCTGTGACCTAGAAATGTTAATAGTATCAATGGTTAATAAACTTGGAATGCAACACTTATATGTTAGCTTAGTTCCCTGCTAGAAGCACTAATAATTATTATTAATTATTACATAAATATAAGAATTTCATGCAGCTTATTTTCATATAGGTCAATGCACTTTTAAAGGGGCACTTGGATGAAAACGCCCAATTTCAGAATAATCGAAGTATTTGAGGATAATTTGACCCAATTATGATTATGTAAACCAGATTAGTGAAAATTTTAGCCTGTGAGCCACTTGCAGTTGAGAAATTTTGGGTTAAAAGAGAAAAGAACAATAGGGTTGAGTAAATGAAGTCATTTACTCACAATTCATATGCTAAATAAATTTGATAATTTTTATCTGAGACATTTTACTGTGTAGAAAATATGTTGCTTGGCTATGATTGGGGCCATATAGATACATTTGATTAAGTTTAAAGTCATTTCCAATTTTTATCCATTTTCATCCAAGTGCCCCTTTAATAGTGTTTGGAATTTTATAGACTCAGGGCTAAAAAAATGACCAGAAAGGCAAAGATTTGACCAGACAAGTTCCCATCCTGGCTGGAACTTGTCTGATGAACAGCAATTATTATACTGTAGCCCTTAGGGCTCCATATAAAAAGACATCAATTACTAACCTTGGAAGCAAGCTACCATAAGTGGTGTCCAGCCTCCATTATCTGCTCTGAACATTGCATCCTTTGGCGCTCTCCAGTCACCAGACGATGGTTGACCTGGTTGGATCACAAAAATATCACACAATTAATCATTCAATGTTGTGAAATCAACTAATACACTATTATCTCTAAAAATAATTGCAATCAAAAAAAGTTTGTCAACATTAAGTCAACTTTATTTAGACAGGATGGCCTATTCAGGAATAGGAGAACCTACATAGCACTCAGTGGATGTAATGTATTCAAAAAATCCGTTGTGTTATATCATTGTTCTATCTATTGTATTAGGTGTGATTTATTGTATTTGTATAAATGTATTACATCAACTGCTTTCTCTTTAAAGATGAGAGTATGTGGACCGCGTGGCACTAATGAAATAGTAGAAGATAATATAGGTAAGTTGTAGTGCTTGGGAACGAGGTTATTCCGGGCGAAAGCCCTTGGAATTAAATTCGGAAAAATTAATTTCCGACCTCACTGGGATTTGAACCCACGACCTTCGSAATTGTACTACCGATGCTCTACCAGCTCAGCTAGAGGTCAGACTGAGAGCAGGCCGGGGTGAAATAGATGTTAGGTCGCGGTAATTATGATGCAAAGATGAGAGTATGTGGACCGCGTGGCACTAATGAAATAGTAGAAGATAATATAGGTAAGTTGTAGTTGGCCTGCTCTCAGTCTGACCTCTAGCTGAGCTGGTAGAGCATCGGTAGTACAATTCCGAAGGTCGTGGGTTCGAATCCCAGCGAGGTCAGAAATTAATTTTTCCGAATTTAATTCCAAGGGCTTTCGCCCGGAATAACCTCGTTCCCAAGCACTACAACTTACCTATATTATCTTCTGCTTTCTCTTTAGGAAACTGTCCCATTCAGGAAAAAAGCTGGTATTCAAAGATGCCCTCCAAAGGGAGGGACTAACAGACACTAAGGTTCTACGTTTGAGGGATCAAGAAATGCTAGCTGGTCATTTGTCACTGACAGAATAAACTGGAGTTTTTTTTTACTGACCTTTGCTGTTTTTCTCTAATAGTATCTTAACAATTCCCACATGGCCACTTGCTGCTGCTGCAAAGAGAGGTGTTCTGCCATTCCTGTCCCAGTGGCTGATGTCGGCATTGGCATTTAGAAGTAACTTAACAACATTATAATGCCCTTCTAGACATGCAACACAGAGGGCTGTCATGCCATCATAGTCAGGTCGATCAACATCAGCTTTGTACTCTATTAATATTTTTACCACTTCAGTATGCTCAGGGTTGGCAGAGATACATAAAACTGCAACTGCTAATGCAGTTCGACCATCTTTATCGGCAAGATTGACATCTGCTTTGTGTTCAAGAAGGTATCTAACTACAGATTTGTGGCCCATATATGCAGCGGCAATCAATGCAGATCTGCCATCTTTGTCAGTATGGTTTGGATCAGCACCATGTTCAATTAACTGCTGTACTACATCAGCATGGCCACCCCATGCCGCCCCACGTAAAGCAGTCCTCTTGTCATTATCAGCTTGATCTACGTTAGCACCATGTTTTAATAAGATTGACACCACATCAGAGTGACCACCAGATGCCGAAGCTCTTAATGCTGTGCAACCATCACTTGAACTTTGATTGACATTTGCTCCACAGTTCACTAGTAAGTAAACAACATCTGCATGACCTTGTTTGGCTGCTAGTATCAGCGGTGACTCCCCTGATGGATCAGAGTAGTTGACGTTTGCACCATGCTGCAGCAAAATCTTAACCACATCTGTGTTTCCATTGAAGGCTGCATTGCATAACTGTGTCCTTCCAACACTGTCAACCCGATCAACTGAGGATCCTTTTTCAAGAAAGGCTTTAATGGATTCTTCTGTTTCTTTACCATAACTGATGGCTAACTCTCCTGACTCATCAACATTACTAACATCAGCACCAGCATCTAACAGGATCTGTAGTGCTTTCTGTTTTGGTTGGTCTGTAGCAGCTAGAGTCTCTGAGAGAGGTGCACCACTCCATAGAAGCCAGAGTGCAAAGTGCTCCTGAGATAGCTCTTCTTTGAAGGAAGCACGGCTCAAATGAACAGCAAACTGGTGCAGGTCAACTGATTGTTTATTACTTGCCAACAGTGTACACCGCAGGGCAAGCATGGCATGACCATCAGAGGGTGAACACAGGTACCTTGGTGTACAATGTTTGACATCAATTAACCACTCGGCAAATGAATGGTGAAATATGCACTTTGAGTCCTCAACATTAACAACCATGTAACTCATAGATTCCAAAATATTGTGGAATTCTTTAGTACAAATGGAAGAATTCCTGGTCCAAACAGCTTGATACAGCTCGTTTGCTTCAAGAGGCTTCTGTGAGGCTAGAATAACGTTTAAAATCAGTCGCATTTGATTGAATTGTTCCTCTTTGTACAGTCGATTGCAGAGCCATAGGTAAAGTCCATTCAAAGTACCTGGAATATCTTGTACTTCATCAAGAGAAAACAACTGTTCTTCAATTCCGTCCAGCACTTTCTCAAGATAAAGAAAACATCCATTACTTTTAATATGCAGTTGATTAAATATTTCGGCAGTTTCTCGAGTGAGGTATTTACGTAGTTCTTTGTCATCGTCTAAACGATTCAAAATATAACCTTGGATGTCTCTCACAACATGCGCTTTACGCAAGTCATCAAGAGTCAGTTTACGAAAACCTGTGAACATCTTTGTCACAGTTTTTGACTGTTTTCTTGCACTTATTACAAGGAAGAGCCACGGAGGGAGCAAATCATAATGTGTGGCCACTAGTTCTGCGATAGTTCGACTGCCGGAAAATACGCCGGAATCAAAAGAATGCAGGAATGATTCGTCTATCGAGTCAACAACAACAACGAAGACATCTTCTGGTGGTGTGATAGAGTTCAATGGCAGTAAAATACCCTCTTTGAACGAAACATCTGGGTTTTTAGCGCATTGCTCGGGCTTTAGATAATCTTGAATCTGAGACTCGTTGAACTTTTCCCTATAGGAATTCAACGGTTCTGCTTTTGCTAGTTGTTCAGCTAAGCTTTTGATAAACTCAGAGACAGAAACAGTGCTGTAGTTGTGTGCTTCGCAAAAATGATGAGCCAAGACTTTCTTGGATAAATCATGTTGAGGACCATCTTTTATGCTTGGAAAAATCAGTTCTTTTAAAAGAGTAGTTTTCCCCGAGCCTGGCCCACCAACAATAAATGCTCCTTTAGTTTTTAGATCTTCTTGTTCTTTCCTTCGTTGAAGACAAGTCAGCACTTTCTCGAAGACCCAGTCTCGACAGTAGAAGCTCCTACAACCTCTAACTCTTGTGTTCATCGTTTAAAGTCTATCTAATCCTCATACTGCCGTTCCAAGGTGTAGCTAGAGCCTAAAATGAAGAACAGCAATGATATGTGTTTGAATACACGAGGGTTGGCTGCCACACTGACTGCCCCTGGGGATCACAAACCCTGCAGATCATGAGAGAAATATGACACTTCTTATGACAACTTGTCACTTCTGTTCCGCATCAATACAACTTTACGTTCCAAAACTGTTTGCTATTCTTCACAGTTCCGTCAAAATCACTCCCTCTTTTACTTGCTAATTTGTTTAGAAAAAGCCTCATAATCCTTTTATGAGCTAAAAAGAGATAAATAAGATTTTTGTCATAAATATCGTGGTGGAGTCTTGTAGATACGTACGCGATGGATGGATCCTTCTTGTTTGAACTCGGTTTTCACAAAAACCACAATATCATCTTTCTCTTACTGTTTGTTCTCATTGGTTGACTAAAAGTTCTTCTTAAACCAAGTAGACCCACTTAAAAATAAACAAAAGCTCGCAGTGGGTCGTCAGGAGACTTATTTCTACAAGGACATGTAAACACAACTATCTCCTTCGACAAACGGTTCAAAAAAGCTCACTTCCGGACCGTGAGAGAGAATGACATCACTACCAATCTAAACATTTTGAACTGCAAATTGAAAACATATTACTAAAATATTTTCATTTTGAAAATGTAAATATTTGCGAGATATGTTAACCATTGTTTCGGGGGCGCCAGATATAGTCTTTGTCTTATATTATTGAACGCAGTCAAGTGATTGGAATTTTACTATAGAAAAAATACCGGACTGTTTCCTTTGAAATTTTTGCGGTTTTTTGCGCCTCAGCCCATGAGCCTAGCCTCATGGTCTCCCATATGATCAACGTAATTGAATTAGTTAAATAGTTATGCTGTTAGTTGCATTAAGATCGTTAGGCGGTATTTTTGGAACAAAAAGGACGCTTTCACTGCATGATTGACGGAGCGAAGACCATTGATTGTAAAAACTTAATCAAAATGAATATTTAGCGCGAAGCAGGATGTCTCGACCGAAACCGCTGTTTAACAATTACGGCACCTAGCCGAAGACGTACTGGCCCACGGAAAAGGGATTAAGTGAGAGGGTGTGGCTTTACACCCCTGACCCACCTCTTTCTAATTCTGCTCCCCTTTGCTTATGTTGACCCAATCTGTCGAAAATTCGAGTGCAAATAACAATAGTGAGTGAGCTGAAGTCCAGGTTTCGATAGTTTTCATTTCTTATTGGTTGTCGTTGGGTTGTTGGTTGTTGTTTTTTTTTTGTGTTTTTGTTTTTTTTGATAGGCGACAATTTAGCGATTGACCCCCTCCCGGGTAAGCCCCAATCGGCCAGCTGTCTACTGACTAGCACGCACATATTGGGCGAGTTGACCAGGGTTGACGTATGCTTTTACTCCTAGGCCACGCCTATCCCAAGAATCTGTTTTTATCAGATAACTCCGGCTGCTATCAGAGTTGTTATCTTGATTTCTTGGAGGGCGTGACAGCTATTTTTAATTCACCAGATTCTGCTATTTCCGTGTTTTTAAATGTTGCGATTTGTTTCGCAGGGGGTGGGGAACAGCTAGTCAGTATACACCCAAAACACCTCGGCTTTCACAACCTCATCGATAGATCATTCCATGACATAAATAGCATGCAGTTCAAGTAAAAAAAAAAAGAAAAAGAACCTTCCTTTAATTTTAATTTAAAAAATTCTGACACCCAGGTAAAAGTTTAGGAATGTATTCACTACTTTGGGCTGTGCTTCAAAAGAATCGACTTGCAGACAGCTCGCTGGGAACATTACTACATAAACTATTCTATTTACCTCGTTGTTTGACTAAATAAGTATGACCCCATATGTGTATTACAATTAAACAGACAGAACTGAATGCTAATTACTTCAATAAGGTTATCTTGTGAATGAAATGAAATCAAACAAAATTGTTAGACTGTTATGGAGACCGCATTACCAGATTGTGTTGAAAGGTTTGTGAGACGTTTGTAATATTTGCGTTTTTTTTGTCTCACTAAACGCAATAAGATATGTATGAATGCACAAAACCTTGAATGTATACAATACGAACTAGTTCAGGTTTCTATATAATATAAATATTTTTGTGTTTTGTTTTGTTTTTTTGTTTTGCATTAAAAACGATATTATTTTATTAATTCCATTCCATTCTTTCATGTTTTCACTTGGTAAAGCAACGGCTATCTTTGCTTCTTGCGCCAGTAAGAACACAATGCATTATGGGTAGGTAGTGCAGATGCTCCTGCAAGCGCGATACCAAAGCTATCTGCCATGCTGGCCACACCCATAGAGAACTCCCTGTGTTCTGGCGCCACCTGTGAAGACCAAATAACATGACTCAGTAAAATGTATGCACAACCCCTACGAATATCCCCCTACAAATATCCCCCTACAAATATCTCCCTACAAATATCTCCCTACAAATATCTCCCTACAAATATCCCCCTACAAATATCCCCCTACAAATATCTCCCTACAAATATCTCCCTACAAATATCCCCAGGCATATCTGGAACAGTGACGTGCGTGTCACCAAGTCCCTTGTTTTCGCGCGGCTGTCATGCCGTGATAGTATGCGCAAACCCATCTACTCTGTGGAAACGCACCATTATCAAGTCCCTTGTTTCTTAGGAATATAATGGAGTAGCGTGCAAACCACCTGAAAATTGACAATTGTGCGTCATAACTATGAAATCCAGATTTGTAACTTACCTCTTTTGAGATTCTGTAGAAAGAATTAACGTACACTGCTCCACCAAGTAAACCCTCAAATAATATGATTGCAAACATTATCCATACAGATGGCATGTAATGGAAGTATGCCTCAAAGAAGAGGACGACAAGGTTGACATACTGAAATGAGCAATGATTATTTATCAGTTATTTAAATACAAGATAAAGACCAAGGTGTATTGTTAGTTTTCATGATTATTTAATATTATCTTATTCGAGCCTGCAGACACCACATGTGAATTGAGTTTGTTTGATGTGTTGCTCACTCCTATGCTACGAGGGTTTTCTCCGGGTTCTCCGGGTTCTCCGGTTTCTTTCCTCCGTAAAAATCAACATGTCATCATGGCATTGGGTGCATATCAAATGTTGTGGTAGTGCGTGTGAGTGAAAGTGGGCCAAATTGGAAACCAGACCTTAACTCTGTATTTGACAACCATTAAAATAAAAATAAATAAAGATTCTATTAGGTTCATAGCTTCATTCAATATAAGCATGTCCTACAGTATCTAATGTCTTTCATCTCCTTTGGCTTCAAAAACCTTTTTTTTAAACATATTAATATATTGTACCTGTAAAAATGCTAACAAGCATGTATTTTTGATGGGAAACAAGTTGACAGATGATCTTGATATCAGTACTCCAAATTGATAATCAACTTGGTACCTTATGGTCAAAAGAACAAAAAACAATAACACAGTCAGACATCATATTGAACACAATCAACACAATTAACAATATGTAACACAATAATTGAAAAAAAGGCAAATAGTTTTCCATTGGAATGTTGTCCTCCCCTCTGTTACACTTAAATGGCTTTCCATTGGAATGTCATCCTCCCCTCCATTGGCCTTAAATCGCTTTCCATTGGAATGTCATCATCCCCTCCATTACACTTAAATTGCTTTCCATTGGAATGTTATCCTCCTATCCATTACACCCAAATGGTTTTCCATTGGAATGTTGTCCTCCCATTCATTGCACTTACATGGCTTTCCATTGGAATGTCCTCCCTCAGATACACTTAAATGGCTTTAATGCCTTTTAATTGGAAAACATGTGAAAACATGCTATGTGTAAAGCATATATAGCCAGAACATGGGAGAAATGTTGTTAGACAACAACGGTGCATACAGGTAATGTTTAGAATACAAAAGCCATTCTTTTGGATAAGAATGACAAATAGAAAGTGTGCATGGGTTTGAGTGCTCTGTGCTCTTCTGCATAATACGGTCATAACCCAAAGAGCAAGATTTATAACAGTTATATTAAGATTGAATATAAAGTGGTAAATACCATCTGTATTGTTCTGCAGGAGTAAGCCATATTCCTTTCCAATAGATCAGCTCTTGCTGCAATAGATCAAACACGAATAAGGACACATACATTTTAAGGAGCTTTTGCTGTCATTGTCAGCATGTGGATTTATATTTGAAGATTTCAGTTGGAATTTAGTTTCCTGCTGTCAGCAATCAAAACAAAGGTAAAACTGTCTAGGAAATATTGATTTAGGCAAGAAGATTCTTCTTAGTGAGAATAAAGAGAAAAAGCCATATGATTCTCAGATGGAAACATTTCCCACTTTGTACATTAGATACATGCATGTACTTACCAGACCTTGATTTATAAAATATTCAGCAAAATAAACGAGAAAAAGTGGAATCATGTACTTCAACAAGGACTGAAAAAAGAAGGGAAATTTTCTTTCATATTTATACTGAAGTAAATATGAGCAATCCATGACACCATTCAATGACATGTATGCACCATCACCAGGCAATGACACACATGCACCATCACCATTCACTGACATGCATGTAATATCACCATTCACTGGCATGCATGCACCATCACCATTCATTGACATGCATGCACCATCACCATTCACTGACATGCATGCATCATCACCAGGCAATGACATGTATGCACCATCACCATTCACTGACATGCATGCACNTGACATGCATGCACCATCACCATTCACTGACATGCATGCATCATCACCAGGCAATGACATGTATGCACCATCACCATTCACTGACATGCATGCACCATCACCATTCACTGACATGCATGCATCATCACCAGGCAATGACATGTATGCACCATCACCATTCACTGACATGNCATTCACTGACATGCATGCACCATCACCATTCACTGACATGCATGCATCATCACCAGGCAATGACATGTATGCACCATCACCATTCACTGACATGTATGCACCATCACCATTCACTGACATGTATGCACCATCACCATTCACTGACATGTATGCACCATCACCATTCACTGACATGTACGCACCATAACTATGATAGTTTGAGGGGGTAAAGGGTGCACCTTAGAGTGCTTCATACATAAGCGCCTCAGGAGATTGCACAATATCACTCAATACCATATCACATATCTCACATTTTTCATATATGTGACATACATCCATCTACAGTATATTTATTGTATTTTTTACCTTTGTAATAACAAGTTTCTCATAAAGACTCATGTATTTAGTTGTGTCTTCATCTGAATTTCAAGCAGAAATTGAAAATAAAAATAGTATCAAATAAAATAACTCACACATTAGGCGTGTTTGTTCTTCTTACCTCCTCTATTACTTGAGGTCTCAATTGGAAAATACAGTGTTTGACAATTACCATTGTACCTCATGTACGAAGGATATTCCAAAATAAACCAAAAACTGCAGAAGAGTCAATAAGTTTGTTAGAATCACAGGATACATTTATTCTTAACCACTTAATATGATTTTGTCAATACACCCTTGCTCTGTTACAACTATTGCATTTATATCATTTATTTCATCTTTTCACGGTGTATAATTTACCTTTTTATCATTACTGTTTCATTTGAAACACTGACACAGCTCACACTAGTTTTTAGCTAGTTATCTCTTCTTTTTATATCATACCAAGTGGCTAACAAATCCACTCAACCAAATAATAATATTTCCATAATACTTAATTTCTTAATTTCAACTTGGGTGAACAAATTCAGTATGAATTTTTACTGGTCTCCAATTTGGCCCACATTCACTCACACACACTACCACTACATTAAATAGTTGTCAACTTTTTATGGACATGGTGTATCATTATATGCCTACTGATTATTAAATAGTGCATACCTGAGACCAAATAAAAATGGAACAATGTTCATAACTAAAACTGTATTCCTTGGTGACATGCCAGCTGATATCAAACCAGCATATGAAAGAGCACCAAACAAACCAGCAGCCCCTAAATGGTAAATAAAAGAGAGAAATCTTAAAAAGTATTTTCCTTGACATAAAATATCTTTTTTTTWAATTTATATTTACCTGTTCCAGAGGACCAAGTAGAAACCACATCCCTAAAGTTCAAACAAAGTCATCGAAACTTAGTTCATACCTTTAAATTGCTTATATTTCAAACAAAGTGCACGTCTCTAGGTTTACTAAGAAGATTACTACTTTCATGATCATGGTATCATAATAGATAATTTAACAAATAGACATCAGGGTCCAGATGTACGAAGCCTGGATAGCATTTTTCGGCGGATAAATCCTTATCCAGTGGTTAAGTCAATGCTGTTTTCCAATAAATTCATCCACTGGATAAGATTTATTCATTGGATAGCACTATCCAGGCTTCAACAACTGGGCCCAGTTTTTTACATGTCTGTCCTCTTATTGACAATCAATTGCATCATCGCATTGTCAAAGTAGTGTGGATGGATCTACGAGGCATAGCCGAGCCAATGACGAAAACAATAAAAACTTCTCATTTTTAGTGATCAAAACAACCAACGGATAAAAAGCGCATGCTCATTGACAACAGCTTTGTCTGTCTGTCCTCTTATTAATGATAAAAAATAACCAATCAGGGCACAAGAAATTTGTAAGTTATTGTAAAAATGAGGGATGACTTACTTGTCAAAATGAGCAGAAAAACTCAATATCGTAATTTCCCCCAATCCACTACTAAGACTTGCACATACAACACCTACAATCAAATATGAAATAAAACTATTAGACAATATTGCAATGTGGTGACAGGGTTTAAAATGACAGCTGGTCAGTCTGACAGCAGTCATGATCACCACACAAATTAGTCTTAGCTCAGTCATACCTTGTTTCTGGTTCAAAGTTACTAGTTAAAGTGACCAGTAAGTTTGATGGTTCAAGTTCCAATAAAGGTCAAACATTGTCTTATGGCTTGCTATTATATAAAGCACAGGGTGAGGAGATGGAAAGGTCTTTACTTTAGAGAAATCATCAGGCTAGGGTGGCATGTATTAACAATTACAAAATACTTACCCAATAAACTAATCCACAAGACATGAGAATATGCAATCATGAAGAAACTTGCAAATGCAAACAAGATGCATACGAAGGCTCTGATGCTGCAAAAAAAGGGATGGCTATATAAATTATCATCACCACTGCCTCTATCTCCACCATCACCACTACACCTAACACTGCTGCTATGACGATGACCACTACATCAACAATATAACCACCACTATCACTACCACTACCATCAACAAATGACCACCGCTAGCATTACCATGGCCACTACCATCAAAAATATGACTACCACTACCACTACTACTACCATCAAAACTATGACCACCACTAGCATTACCATGKCCACTACTACTACCATCAAAAATATGACCACCACTAGCATTACCATGGCCACTACCACTACCATCAAAAATATGACTACCACTACCACTACCACTACCATCAAAAATATGACCACCATTAGCATTATCATGGCCACTACCAGAAATAACAACAATATGATCAACACTACCATTATTACTGCCACTATCACTATCACTACCACCAGTGCCACTACCACCAGTGCCACTACCACTACCACTACCACTACCACTACTGTACCATCAACAATATGATCACCACTACCACTAGAACTGCCACCACAACTTTATTCTTACTTGTAGCTTATCTTTTTCATGTAGAACGGAGCAGTAACTTTAACAAACACAGTAGGAAGAATATCAGCTAACAGCACAGTCTGTCAAATAAAACACATAAGCTAACATTAAATCTGTTCATAATAGTGTCAGACTTCATATTACATTGACCATCTATATTAAGCAGACACCAGCTTTATTGAATGAATAGCTGCATGGGTGCCAAAATTTTCTTTATTTATATTTACAGTGTAATTACAAGGTCTGAAGGTGTCCGTCCTCACAATCCAGCTACAACCATGCTTTATTTAAATGAAAAAGAACTGAAGCGTTGACGGTTTCGAGTGTCCTCACTGTAATGTGCCAATGATGACCATCTTCAATTCCATCACTTTTCATGAGAACATAAGTAACAAATAATTATACATTACCCCTGTAGATAGTGGGTTGCATTCAAGACCATCAACAACAGAACTGGAACCATTTGCTGATCCATTTGAAAACAGGCTACTGGCATTTGAATTCTGAATATAAGAAATTATGATTATTTACAGAAAAACTTCATACACGTATAGAAATCAAATCCAGCATGCCAGGCTCCAATTTTCCAATACAGAACAGTTAATGGAATGCTAAGTAATGTGTACCTGGTGAGCTGAAGCTGTTGTATTCCTTGGGTTGAGTATATCATGTGCAGCACTCAGCATCACAACATAAGAAAAGTTATTGCAAAGACCAAGAATCCTGAAGGGAGAATGAAAATGAAAAAGGTGCAACGTTTTGTTAGTTTTGATTTCATATTGGCCTCAAGTAAACACAAGTAAACAATGCTTCAGCTACATGTATTTCAGTTATGTTTATACTCTTTTTTATTTTCATTTTCAATCTTCTACCACAACAAGCAAATGCATCCTAGTCTTATATACTATATGTACTTATATGAAAAATTAATAATGCGAAGAGAGAAAGACTAATTGATGTCATGCCTTGAACTATTATTATTCAAAAAATATAATAATATTTACACATGGCATCATGTTTTTGTTGGCTGTGATTGACATGAAACTTACATAAATCACAAATATAACTTTAATATAACGAACATAACTTATAAAAGCGGCTTTGGATATCGTGCAAGCCAGCAAGCCAACATTTCGTGCGAGTGATGCAGGCATTAGTGCATGAAATTGTGCAAGATTAAGATTCAAATCGAAGACAACTTGCTCTCTTCAAGGCCTGTAAGCATTTTGCTTTTGCTTCAGCTGATAATTCGAAAAATCTTTCAAAAAATTCATTACTCATTAACTTTATCCCCAACAAGTTTTCAGGGGGGAAATGAGCCTTCTTTGAGACAAATTAATAACTCACCAAAAACCAACTAGGTTTCTTGAACGTTTATACTTTGTATCTGGAGAGTAATCTTCTCCTGTGATAATATAAAGATAATAATATAAAGAACACCATTTAAAAACATAACAAAATAAATGCAAACTTTGAAAATTCATTCAATAATTGAGACCTTCGTGACTTAATAAAGAGTTCTTGGATCCTTTTTCATCTCCATCTTCATCTTCAAACTCTGCCTTATTGGAAGCCATTATTTACTTCTAGACTGTCCTCTTTAATACAAGCAGAGGAGGATGGACACTCGTCACGTGATAAATTCATCCAATCATAAGTCTGTATAGTATAAGTGCATAACACGCCGCATACACACATACTAGTATATATTGCGCTACGTCATCTTCTATTTCTTCATTTACTTCATTTCTGGTTGCTTTTTTTTCTTTAGTAAAGGATTCAGAGAATATATTTATGTATCTTTGTGGAAGCAGTAACGCAACTCTACAAAACACAGCTCCACAACAGTTCAGTCACAGGTAACCCAGTTATCCACTTTTATAAGGAAATGTATGGAGTAAATAGATTTTGCTAAAATTTTGTAGGTTTCGCTAAGATTTTGGAAATAAAACTTCGCGGAGTATATAAAAACCTGAAGCGTACTTACCGTTTCAAGTTTTCGATTTTTTTAGCGATTTTCGGTACGCCCTCCACTTTAGACCGATACATTTTCTTACAAAAGTGGATAGCCTGGGTTACCTGTGTAACCATCACAGGTTTGACGCTATTTTTAGAATTATATTTTCCATAATKTTTTAAGCACGCCCATAGTGCGCGCGCACTATGTTGTTTGCTCACGTTTTGTTGAAACACAAGAAAACGTGAAGACCTAAGTAATCGTTTGTTATCTATAGATATTTCTATCTATTTACCCCCAAAATATCTGCATATACATTTGCCAACTCAGTATATGAAAAAGTCATTCCAGTTTCTTGACAACTTCAAGTTACAGTCGTTACATTTCCTCGCCATTTTCTTCAGTGTCATTAAGTATATCTAGCAAAGTCCTTAGTTCTGTACTACTGCATAGCCGGCTAAAAACATATTTTTTATATTTTTCCTTGCGTTGCCACGCAACAGGAACGTACTGGGTAAAAAAATGTAGTATTAACGGCGAAAAGTCATTGTACTCTAAACTTAGTGCAACGTCCATTTGAAAGGTTTTGTCTTCACAAGTATATTTTCTGTAGAGTTTGTATGGTACACTTGCTAAAAGGGATAATGGAGTCATCACACAACAGATTATAACAGTGTCTAAGTTAAGCAAAGGATTGGGCTTGCAGTGGTTGGTCACGCAAAACTTAGTGTTGAACCAGGAAACAAAGCTCTTAAAATTAGAAGGTAAAATGCCATTGAGTACGTGACTGAAGTCAATAGTGATGAAGAACTTTTTGCTGTTCTTGATCTTCCTTCGTACATAATCTTTGATTGTCTGGAAATGGTGATCAACCATACGGTCTTGAGGGTTAAAAACCAACACAAAATCTGTGTCAAACCCTCCCAATCCAGCGTCGTCTGTTTGTCTTCTCGTGGCACACATTAATACAGGTTTAGTGAACATGAACTCCAACTGTCGTAGTTCATGTTGATTGGTCACTTGAATGATTTGCTTTTCCAGGTCTATAATACTGGGTGTTGGGTAAAGCGGAAAGAAACTTTCGTTGCATGAAAGCACAGTCAGTTTGTTAGGGTTGTATGATATCCATCCAGCCTCAACTTTCGTCGAAAAACACAGCGAATTTTTTAAATATTTGTATTCCTTTCGATTTTCAGCAACAAAAGGTAACGATGAAATAGGAATCAGTGGAATTTTAGGTTGGATGTAATCGTCTCCATCCTCCATAGTCTCCCTTAAATTTGCTCATCAACGTCAAGTCGAGGACCGGTCACGTTGATAGCTCCGATAAAAGTCTTAATCAGATCCAAACGTTTTGAGATCAGTATTAGACAAGACTGACTAAATACATGATTTTTTCCCCAAATATTTCAAAAACAAAGCCTATTGTATTTTTTAAATATATTCAAGCACTTTATTACTATTCAAATCCTTATTGTATTCTTTTTATACAGAACAAAGAAGAAATTGAATAGCGGATTCGTACAAGATTAGCCATTGATTGTCAGAACTATTTCTATTCATAGTTTTGGCATCCAATGTCATGTAAACAGAAAAACAATGTTGTCTTAGCATTAACAGTTCATGGATTATTAGAATAGCTATGTGTACTTTCTTGAATGAAAAAATGTATCGCTGCAACTGCTTGGTTAGTATGAATCATGGTCAACGAATTGAAAACTGTTGCACGTGACAGAGAATAGGCACCTGCACAAGACACAGAAGATGACACTGTGCACGTGTCAATATCCATACAATGTTCCACGTGACAGAGATGTTACTGTGCACGTGTCCGTCCATACGATGTTCACGTGACAGAAAAGATGTCACTGCGCGCGTGCCTGCCCAAACGATGTTGCACGTGACAGAGAATGTCACTGCGCGCATGTCTGTCCATACCATGTTGCACATGACAGAGGCATGGCACTGCGCACGCGCGTGTCTGTGTCCGTCCCCATGATGCTGCACCGCCCTGCGGAGAAGATAGCACCGCGCGTGTGTGTAATTGTTCATTCTAGGACGTTTGAAAAATAGATAGGGTTCATGTTCAAATCTTAAAAGAAAAATCTCTCCTCCTTTTTACGTTCTCTTTCTATTTTTCGTTTGACCCGCTGTTCATATCTCTGCTTAGCCTCTATTTCAATGGGTGTCAGAACCTTATCTGATGTTTTGGACGGAGAAGTTTTATCCGATAGGCTCCATCTATCTAGTTCCTTCTCGATGCTTGAGATTGTACGAGGAGTCAATGGATGTTTGGATTTCATATCTCCATCCCTTTTGTTGACGCTGAATGGATCATCAAACCAAGCTAGCTCTCTGAAATCACCGGATGGTGATATTCCTGGTGTAGTGCTTGTGCTTGAGCCACTGATAGATCCATAATTAGAACCATTGCCAGAAAAGTGAAAACGAGTATTAAAAAAGCCTGAAGGAGTACTGTTGGCTGAAGAATCTGAATCACTGGTAGACCCTGGGGAACTTTCACGATAAAACTCTTTTAGGTAAGAGGGAAGGTAAAAGGGCGAAGAGTACGTTCTGCTTTGCGTTAGCCTTCTATCGTCGACTATCGACCGTTCTTCCTCATTTGAAGGAACAATCATCGGCTTTAAATAGCCAACGCTAATACTACTGACAGATTCATTGTCATTTGTAAGCAAAAGTTTGTTTCCTTGTTCTGCGAAGTTTCTTGTGACCTTTTTCTTTTGGGATATGACATACTGGGGAGATGGAGAATAGGATAAAGGCATCTTGTCATCCAGAAGACTTGTCTTAAGCATCTGCGTGCCTAAAGAATAACCATTGTGACTTTGGTCTGTAACTTCCATCGTAGATACTTGGTTCTTTGACGACGGAGATAGCAACTCTATTTCAGAGGAGGTACATGAGCATGGGAGATCATTGACTCTTATCTCGGGGCAAATTTCCTTGCCTCCAACATCATTCCCTTCACCAGGGAAAACAAGCTTCTTCATAGTATTCGTGAAGGAGGACTTTTCGCTGTTTCCTGCTCGTCGAAGGAACAGAGGAATCGTGTTGGTTTGTTCAGTATCCATTAGAGGAGTCAGGGCTTTCTCATCACCGACTCTTCGCCTTATTAAATATTAGAAAGTGACAGACAACAATGTAAGACAATGACGTCGTAACAGTATATTATTTTGTTTGGTTACCATAGTTATTGAGAGGTGTGGAAACGTAAACTGGAAATACCGACAAATTCTTAAATAAAGATAAGGGTTCTTATTATACTTTCTCTCACCATGGATGACCTAATTTTGTTATTTTTTTCTAAAAAATTCCACGCCCACCTTACGACATCTTGAATTATTATTCTTTTTCTTATTCAAATTGTTTTATTCAAATTATTCAAAAATCATTTATTCTAAACTCCTTTGGGAAGTGGAGATGCAAGGACTTCTCAAAATAGGCATTAAAATATCCCATACGTCAAGCACATACGTCATGCATGTTCTTAAGCGAAAATAACTTAAAAGCAAAGAGAATGAGGTTGTTACCATGGCGACCAAGCAAACAATAAAAAACAAACAAAAAATAGCAAACTGAAACTTTATAGAATCAAAAAAAAAAAAATTAGACCTTGTCGATAGAAAAAGTAAATGGATGGATTTTTCACTCCGAAGTAGTAAATAGGGTCAGGGTTTAATATCTCTGGCGGCACATCCTACCCCCCCCCCCCCCCCCCCCCCCCCTCCCACACACACAAACACAGCCCCGCCCCTCGCCTCGCGGGCTCCGAGTCTGGTTCTTGGAGAAGTGAAACAAATTGACATCAAATTTTCTATAACAAAAGCATGCATCAAAACCTAGAAACTAAACAAGATATGGCTCTCTTTAGCTATCACTTGTTTCTTTTATATATATAATATTTATGATCCATGTTGAACAATAAACTTGCACTCAATGAAACACTACTTTAAAGACCAAAAGGATTATTGTTTGGGTTTATGCGATGCGTGCTACCCCAAATGTAATCACATGCATGTCTATATATCTATCTTGTCTAGTGATGATATGGATTACTGGCTTTTTAGGAAGAGAGCAGCTCCACACTGAACCCATTGGCTTTGATTGGCTCCACAAGGCATGTTGAAGCAAGATACGATCTGGTCTCGATCCGAGTTGTAGTAGATAGGTACCGAGATACATTCGTTTTGGGGATACGGATCAGGCGTGTCCTAAACAGAAGGAAAGACAACGATTATTGTAAAGGCTGGACTATAACAGTCATATTTGACAGTTATCACGTGTATAATAGCTAACTTAATGTTTCGGAAGCATCCAGGGGAGGGGGTGAAGACGAAGTAATTAAGGGGGCTCAGACCCTCCTGGTTACCTTGACAACCCAGGCTACTGTCGCTGTTGGAATGGAAGACACACTGGGTGAATCACGCTGATTCTCTACTAACGAGTTGCCATCAAAGGAAGCTCCCTCCAGCTGCAAGCCACCAAGCTGTTAATATGAACAGAAACCGGTAAGATAAAATAACTCATTTACGGCGGAATACAACTGAGATACGTGCCCCAAGCCTGTGCTAATTTTCATTTTCAGACCATATGGCTTTTCTTTTAAGTTTAATATTCTTTGTTAGGATTCATCCTGGTTTCTCAAACGTCAACTGACGAACAGTACAGAGAAAACATTAACTCGGCTATTTAGTGTACCTTGACGGGATATTTAGCTCCATGAATGCTTCCTTTCCAAGACACACACAGCTTCAAGTTATGTATGGAGGTCTTCATGGCCCTGTATATCATTCGAGAAGTCAATGTTAGTTCATTGCAGGCGCAAATACACGGCGGGCACTGTAGTAAACTCAAATGAAATATGTATCTTATACTTAACACGTAATACCTGGCAGTCTGTTGTCGCAAAGCGTTTAGGAAAGTATCTGGATGGAAAAGTTCCGACAGATCTATCTCCTCCTTAAGTAATGTCTTGGCTTCACACTTTTCTACCCAAGACCCTAAAGCAAGAGCCTTGGAGACTAGAGATCGCAACCAATGTACTGGATCTACTGGGCCTTCCCAGATGTTACTCCACTCTAGAGGAACCTGGAGAAACGTGGGAGATAACAAGCAATACATCATTTCATCAATAAAAGACACAGGAATGAACGTAACTAGGATATTATGAGCATGCAGGATCTAATGGTTTCTTCAAGTCTAGTAGCACAGTAAGACGTCATAGCCACCATGTTAGAATGTTAGAACAATAACCTTCAACCCACCTCCTGTTTGAGCAGAGAACCAGCTGACGCCTCCACCTCAGAACTTAGTAACTGTGTACCCCGAATGACCTTACTTAGTGCAGCAAGAGACGCGTGTACTGTTTGAACTAGTGATATGGCATTATAGCGTTCAAGAAGAACGAATGACGTCACGGGGGATTCGGACCCAGTCTCTGAAGGTGTAGAAATCTTGGTCTGTAATAGCTGTGAGCCCTGGTGATAACAGACATGAGCATTAATAACCGATACTAGGTTCTCGTTACAAGAAAATAAGTACAATGTTCCATTATAACTGTTGTTATACCTGGTTTAGTTTCTTCCACAGATTCAAGATGGGAGATAATTCGACTGACCATTTTTCTTTATCAAACTTGTGTGCAATTACATCAGACCTCATCAGGACTTTAAGCTGTCCAATCACCTGCGCATCGATGGAAGACATCATTATTAGTTTCTTCTATACTTAGCGATTAAGCAATATAAAACAAGCGCATGGCTCTGTACTGTGATATAAACACGCTGGAAGTTGTAAGGCACGAGAAAAGCAAGGGGTGGGAATACGAGGCTTAGCCAAGTGTTTCTCTTACTTTTCGAGTGCTCTACAGCTCCCAGAGTGTTAATATCGCAGTACAGATAAATTAGCAGTCGTTTTATATTGCTTTTATAAAATATATTTGAACGATTTTGCGCGAGAGCGTCTTTGTCCTCTGATACAAACACGCCATAGCCAATCAATCAGCGCGCGCGTTATATTTCAAATATTAGGAAATTAAGACACTCCACAAAAAAAAGTATAAATCGTAAGGAGAGTTTAACATCCTGTTTATAAAGTTTTACATCTTGCACCAAGAGGTCAAAGCCCTCGTCTCGACCTAGGGTTTTGAATAGGGGCGTATTGTGATCTGAATAGATGTTGTACCACATGGGTAAATATAACACACATCATGTTGTACCTGAGAACTGATGATCCTCTGGGAAGATCTTTCGATGTTCGCAGGCAGACCAAAGAATGAAGGTTTATCATCATCAGGCAAAGAGTTGATAATTTCAACATAATCCTGTAAAAAAATGTATATCAAATATAAGTTCACGATGCTCCTCCCGGCACCGTCAAGGCATTGGTTCGTTTGTATGGTTTTCCAGTCATACGATATTCACATATCACAATTCACGTGCAAGTAGCTAGCAGTAACAAGACTCACCTTGTGATGACATGAAGTGGGTAAAGATACGTTTGGTATTACTCTCTTTGGTCGTGAACGGCTGCTACCCTGAAAAATAATCAGCCAGAAACCAGGATTCAAGGAGATTGTATGCCTTTATAATCAGCCAGACACCAGGATTAAAAGGACATTGTATGCCTTAATTAACTTGCTTATAGTTCATCCGGGTGGAATTATTATTAGAAATGCACAGACATCGCAAAATTCCTTTCCTACGAGGGCTTATGGCACGGAGAGAGGAGCTGACAAAATCACTCGGTGTGTCTAAAATATTACAGCACTCCCCTAGTCCAGGGTGGATAACAGTTTCATAACCCTCTGGCCCTCCCTTGGCCCTCCCCTGGCCATCCCCTGGCCCTCCCCTGGCCATCCCCTGGCCCTCCCTCCCTCTCCCCCCTCCTGTTTAATGCCTTGATTCGCATTCGAATTCTTTTTAACCTAAGATCCATATTTAGAGAATAGACTAACCTGTCCTGGGAATACAGTCTGGTCAAAGTACTGAAGCAGATATGATTCCAACACCTTGAGGTCAAAAGTATTATCAACACGACCACCATAGATAGCATTAGCAAACAGACCATGAACAAACTTCCATCGCACGGGACCAGTTCCTATAACACAGAAGACCCGATATCAATGACTGAATAAAGCCTTGGTCCCGAGGGATTCCCGTCAGTTAACGGGAAAAGAATGGGACCGGATTGAGTGGTTCTGAGAAGTAATGGGGCCTAGTTGCGATCCCATGTCATCATACCTGCGGTAGTGCACAACCTATCGATGATATCAGCACCAGCACGCAGATCTCCGAAAGAAAACTCGTAGAACTTGGTCCATCCCTGGATAAAGAAAAGGAAAGTGAAAAACCAAGAGAAAGCAGTATCTAAAAAATGCGTGGCCAACCAAATGGCATAAGACAGTCGTTTGGTTGCCGTCACTAATTTCTTATTACACTTTCATCGTTATTTTCCCGCATGAAAAAAAAGCCGTCTTATTTCTCCACAGGGAGCCCATTCCCGATAAAAGCCATACATGAAAAACCCTTTTGTACACAGAAGCGAACAAAAAGACCATAAGAAAGTCATGTAGGGAAACTATGCCTTCATATACCTGTGGTATGTAGTTTCTTCTTTCTTGTACGATGGCATGGAACCAAGCGAGCACGAAGAGAGCCTGGGCACGAATGGAAGAGTTGCCTCTGTTGATGTATTCTGGTGCCCAGGAGTCGTAGGTACGCTGAAGATTCTTCTTGGTGCCTGGAGGAGCCTGTTAATCAAAAAATTATAATAAATTATGGATGCTGTAATGTCTTATCAAGTGTACTTCAAGGATGGAGTGTTGCATCAATGGGGAAGTACAGACCCCTTGCATGTGACGTTAAAGGAGCTCAATTTGGAGGGCAAAATAAAATTTCAATCTCCTGAGAATTGAAACCCTATCGTTTTGCCCTCCAAATTGAGCTGCATTCCAAACGTGCTGCGAGGGTTCTATAGGCGTTCTTACCTCATACGTGACTTTCAGACTTGATTGCAATAAAATAGTAGGAAACTTAGGGTGACTCTCCGCTGTCAACCATAAACGGAAACTCTCATGAGGTTCAAGGGAGTTGAGCTCCTGTAAGAAAAAACGGTGAATGTCAGATTAATGGATAAAGTTAGAGTGTATGTATTCACTGTAACGTGTCGGTCCCAAATACCAGCAAGCCCTCCACCGCCACGCGCCTGAGCTTTCGCGTGTTTTTCTTACGTATAGAAGTACACAGTGGAAAAGTATATAATATATATAACCGGGATGCAAACACATGATTCATGCAACATCCCTTGAGATTCGAGAAAAAAATAACAATGAAACAGCCGCCATGTTGGTTGATCTAACAAGAGAATGCTTTGTTATCGTCAACCAACATGGCGGCTATGACGTAACATATATATATGCATGTACCCCACAAAGAGTGTAACATAATACTTGCCTTTTCAAGTGTTGGTAACCAAGATGTGACCAGATGTAAATTCTTCAGACATAACCATTCACCGTTTCTTGCACAGTCATGTAACAGCTGCAGCGCGATGTCTGCTTGTCCTTGACCCATGGCAACCTGGTGGACAACACAGACAACATAGTAAAAGAGTCGAATTCACACCCAATAACTTACTGTCATTCATTTTGAAACAAAGCCCCGAGGGTGAACATATCCCGAAATTAAAGTGCGTTACCTGGTGATATTTATCAATGCCCACCACCTCACTTGCTAATTCTTGCAATTCCTGTAAAATAAGAAAGGAAATCAAATCAAAGCAAGATCAAGCTGGCAGTGACGAGATTGCAGGTAGGGAAATAAAGGGGAGAGAGGATATGCACGGTGACACCGTCGACTTAATCTAGTTGGTAAATACCTGAGACGGGTCAGCACCAGGTGAGATGACGATGAGGATGGGTTCACCAGGTACAGTGTCCTTGACAAGACGCTTTAGATTCAGAGCAGGAGGTGATAACTCCTTTATACCTGAATAAAAGACGATGCACTTAATCAATTAATCATTCAGTTCGTTCGATCGCTCATTCAGTTGTCAAGAGGACAATCAGTCATGTCATTGGGTCGATCAGTCAGTCAGTGAGTCTGTCTGTCCGTCCGTCTGTCTGTCTGTCTGTCATCAGTTAAGGTGTTTCTTACCTAGAGCCTTTGAAGCGAACATAATCATTGCACTTTGAAGCCTGTCAGGACGAAGAGCTTGTACAACAAGAACCTTCAAATACAAACAATACGTGTTATGGCTTTATAAGACGTTTACTTCCTTTCTCTCCTCTCCTCCCCTCTCCCTCCCCCTCTGCCATCCCTTGAACTTCCCCATCCTCCCTCCACTTGAGAATCTTACTTGTTGGAATAAACTGATCTTCTTGGCGACCTGAGGTGGGAATTCTTGCTCACACTGAGAACTACGAGCAAACGAAGTCCACAAGTCTGAATTTTCTAACTGCAGGTTGGCGTAGACACTGGGGAAGGTGTTCTGTTGAGGTAAGTAAAAAAAGATGGTTTATTATGCAGTATTACATGTTACCCGTCCCAACCCCCTTCCTCCTTATCTATAAACTGCTAACAGGAAGGGGTTCCCTGGAAAGCCTGCCCCTGTCACAGTACACGTTTTACATGTTACCCGTCCCAACTCCTTCCCTCCTTATCTACAAATCGCTAACAGGAAGGGGTTCCCTGGATAAGCCCGCCCCTGTCACAGTACACGTCTTGTCCAGAAGTGAACAAGTAGTACAACAGATTGGATGTGCATATGGAAACGACCTAGTATGTAATATCACGCACTTTGAACGAGCTGACGGGTCCTGCCCGGTCTGATTCGATCCAATGTGGTAGCGATTCTCGCAGGTTCTTCATCGATTCCTGCGTGTTAAATAATAGAACTGAGTAAGCAAAATGGTTGGATTTGTGAAGAGTGACAGATAGAAGAGGACAGACAGACAAAGGCAATGACTGACGAAGAGATAGACTGAATATATAATCGATTGATGCCTGACTCTAAAATAGCCACGTATAACAATTCCGATTACCAAGGGATGTTATGCGTTTTGGTTATTACCTGTCGTTTGAACATGTCGGAAACAACCATTCCACAGAAGAACTCCCATTCCTGCAACAACAACAACGAATGAATAAGAAGGAGGTAATAAGAGTCGAGGTTACGAGTGAGATTCTATCCTACAAAACAACATACCTTGTTTTCAAACATGTCACGATGGGTACCATGAACCAAATGAAGAGCAAACATCAGACGATCAGCCTGTAATATTAAACAACAGCTTAGTTTTCATGTCACATTTATTTCATTTCATCATTAGATCTTTCAGGTCGGGTGTAGTTGCTGTCCTACATTAGACTGCACGCGTGTCATAAACACGGGAATAACCTACCGATAAACAATGAAACAATACTCAAGAGAATGACACGCGGTAGGACCAAGTATCAACGCTGTAATACTAGAATATCCAAACTCAGATTAAGTAGACTCCTTTGGACCATGAGTAAGTGTTTGGCTTTACCTTGAATAGAGATCTGCAGACATACTCGTAGACTAAAGACTGTAGCGAGCTGGTTAAGGCTTTGATACGGAACTCAGTGTTACTAGAATCCTGCAAGAAGTTCAAATACTTGTTTATATTTTACATCACTGTTATTATTGCTTGGTATCATTCAGCTGAATGATCTCATAAATATCTTTAGGAGGGCACCTTCAATGAAGAGCAAACACTGCCTCCATGTTCAATTAGACGTTTGGTCTGAAACGGGCTATTGTACTGACCTTCCTTGTCTCGAGAGATCGTTCCACAAGTCGCAGGAATGAGCTCAAGCTAAATCGATACATGTTGTTAAGCTTGGCAAGATCACTGATAATAAAGAACATGGTGCTTCCAGTCTTGGCAAGTGGTAAATAGGCGTCTCTTTCCTGATACAACAAGCAAGCAACACTGATCAGTATAGATCGTAACACATATCAATTAGATTGATATATGTATTGTTGTATTACCTGGTCTAGGGTGGTCTGTACACGATGTGCATCTTGTAATGACTCAGCAATCGTCATACTACTAGCCTTGGTCTTGTTCAATGAATCAAGGAGGTTCTTGTTCTCCAGGATGTTCCCTTCTGCACTGGCAAGGGTCTATAAAAACAACAAGGAATTCCAATTGGAAATATCACTTGTACCATTACCTCCCTTCTATCTAGTCGTAGCAATAGTTCACATACCTCATGCAAGAGTTATCACTTGTACCATTACCTCCCTTCTATCTAGTCGTAGCAATAGTTCACATACCTCAAGCAAGGACTCCTCTAGTTCTGCCAGTTGTATTTTCAGTTCTTCTTCTTTCCTCAGTAGTTCAGTCTTCTTGATTTCAAGTTGAGGTTTCTCGTGTTGGATGGTGATACCAAGCAACTAAAACAACAACAAAATTGCCATATTATATATGTACTATCCGGTAACCATGAATAGAACACATCTTGCGTGAACACAGGGGTGATGAAGACCTGTAAGCTTAGTCAGCTGGCTCTATTTAAATCTCTCCTATTTGACTAATACGATCGATATGCAACCGAAGGACCCCCTTGTCTGCGTGAACTTATTACGTATATTGATTTTTGTTACCTGTCCTGTGAGGCCTGCTCTTGTTGTAGTAAAGTTCACCTCGGATACAATAGCATGTGCGTCAGGAGGAAGGTCAGGGTTGGGATTCCTTGTGGCCATGAAAAGGCTAGAGAGAAGAAAACAAATATGGTTAGCGCACTTTACCACCCTCTCTCCATCAGTACTCTGTATTAAGAGTACTATGATTCAAAGCTGAAGCCACACGGATTAGAGAGAAGCCGAAAGAAGGCCGCGCTCTAACAAACTGAGCTTCGGCTGATCCTATGGATGAGACATTGGTACGCTATGCATGTAATAGTGTCACAAAATGGACGCACAGTTACATGTGACTTACTTGAAATCTTCATTGTAGTCAATCACTTTCTCTCCGATTTGAACAACAAACCGTGGACCTTGAGGAAATAAAATAAAAGTTAACATAAAATAAAGATTCATTAGAAACAAAATCACTAAGTGACTACCTTGACTGATAAGATCTCCCCGTAGGATGGGATACAATACAGGATCAATACCATCCATCTCTTGGATAAGAAGAGTCTTGCCAAATCGCACAGCCAATTCCAACCCGGTAGAGAAGTTAGAATCCTGAAGAAAAAAATATTAAGTCCATGGTTAGATAAAGAGTTGAGAGTTATTTGTGAAGAATATTGAAAGTGATGGTAGTGTGTGTGAGTATGAAAGTAGATTATCATCATAATTACTTAGGTAGTAACCTTTGCTTGTCTGTCTTACCTGTTGGTTTATGACCTCAAGTCGTTGATCTTTCAGGTTGGTCTTCAGCCAGTCTGTAGCTCGTGATGATGGATCTACCAAAAACGGTCGCAATGCGCTCTGGAAAAAACATCAATTAGTCAGAAAGACAATGAACCATGGTCATTGGAACCTAAGCTATAACCAAGTTTTTTTCTAAGTAACCACTACTAATAATAGACGCATTATTGATCAGTCATTATTTAGGAGAGAAAGTCATTCGAAATAGTTAAAGAAATAATAATTTCTATGCAGGGACAAAAGGGCGAAAAATGGAAGAAAGCGATCGATAATGACTCGGCAGATTTCTTACCTTCATAATGACCAACGCATTTTCAATCGATAAGTCATCGGACGGTAGACCCTCGGACTTCCATCCCAACTGTTCACTTTCAGTGCTCATGAATCGCCTGAAGTCAAAGCCATCAAGTCCTATGTTCTCACACCACTTGATCATAGTGTCACGCCGAATGTCTTCTGGTGCACTACTCAGATAAGTCACAAATCCAGCTGCAAGTTGAGCTCTTCGTGGAAGCTGTTCAAGCTCTGAAGTCAACTCGTGAACCTGTAAAAAAGTGATGCCACCCAAAAGTAAATATAGCAGTAGTATATATTCATGGACGAAGGACACGGGTGAAAAACGCACTGCCCAAGGTCGGAAATTTTCCAATGGTTTTATTTGTAAATACGATGCGTCTACGAATTTCCCGCCAAACTTCAGAGCATGTGCAGTGCGTTTTTCACCCGTGTCTGGAGGGAAATTACTTTTGCAAAGGAGGAAACACAAAGAAACGCAGAAACCTAACAAGCATACTTATACGCAAAGTATTTAGCACAGGCTTACACCAGTATTCATCACCTTAGGATCTTATTAGGTAAGTTCATTAGATCAGGATATAATTGGTCCAGTTCCTTATTGATTAAGACAATCATTAAAGTTGGTTAAAATACGTTGTGCACAACTAGCAAATGCTCACTTGATTAACACACGACTGATACAACCTACCTGTCCCGTCCATCTATTAAACTCGCCATCCAGTTTATTAACAAGTGCTCCGGCAGCAGCGATAGTTTCATTAGCTTTGTCAAGATCCATCTTAAGCTGGGTAGCTTCTTGTGTTCGTAGCTCAAACCTGAAAAATACAAGTAAATTATCATGTAGTATCTAAAAGATCGGATTGGAATTCGGCTTTGGTGACGGAGGGAAACCCTCATAACAAGGGATATACCCCAACCAACTACCACGACTCTCCCCGGTGTGTTAATGTGCAAAGCAATAATAACGATTCTATAATCATTTCAGCATATTTATTTTACCTTTTTCTCATTTCTGCTACTTCACGATCAACTTTATCAAGAGCTCGTCCGAGTTTTTCTAGTCTTTGTTGAGACTTCTCGAGATTTCTAGAAAAACCGCAAGAAAACAATGAAGGTTAATGACTACTATAAACTAATTGCGATTTTGAGACGGCAATACCACAAAATATTAACGGTTAGTTGGCAGAAAATATATTGAGTATTGGGCGGACTCACGAAGACATAGATACCAAAAAAGTGCGATTTTCGACGCAAATCAAATGCTATGAGCCAATCGCGCACGGTAATTCTGAGACGACAATACCACGTTATATTGACGACGATCAAACTTATTGGTCTCCTATCTAATCCTTACCTCTGGAGCTGAGACTGTTCGGTCTCAAGGGGTTCAATCTTCTCCAGTACTATTGAAAACTTGACATTAGCTTTGACCCATGCTGCAAGTGGTGCTGCAGCTGAGCTGGCTCGTTTAGCAAGCTGGAAAAAAAATCGGGTTAGGTTATATGAAACTACTTTAGTGTACTAAGTTATACCCGATGTTTTCATAATCACGCGACAAACATAGTCCCAGACGGTTTTCTTTGCTTCCGTCAATTAAATTTTCAACGCTACGATTTATCTTTTTTATTGATTGACGGAACCAAAATCCCAAAAAGCAGACATCTGGGGTTGTGTTGGTGCGTAATTCAATATGGACGTGGCTGTAAACGTCTCAGTGACGGACGGCGTCCAACAAGTATGTACCTTGGGGTCGAAGGAGTTGGCATTCTTTGTGAGCAGTTCTTCTACGCTTGCTCTTATTTCTGGTGTTATCTTGCGAGCATCAAATGAACAGATTTCCTCTTTCACTCCGCGCTTGGCTAAGAAACTATAATTAACAAAATAATTTAGTTGAAATCTGAACACAAGTATTTATATCGTCCAATGGTTAGTCTTCTCAGATAATATCCATCTTGGATATGGACAATATGGACATCCAATATGGCGGATATATGACGTCACATGAATACTGACCTTTTCATGCTGACCCAAGATGTATCAAAAATACCCATGAGTCTTAGCACACCTTCAAGAATATCCCGGATAACATCTGGAGGCATGCGCAGTGAGCGTATCTCCGACAGGGATTCTGGTTTGATGTTGCCCACGGCGTCCTTGGCTTCTTGTATAAGCGGCTCGATTTCTGACAGTTCTATTTCGATGGCTTTCTTTCTTTTCTCGAGTTTGAGCGACTCTTCTCCTTGCTTTTGCTTCAACGTTTCCATTTCGCTCTTGGATTCGCTTGCTCGCTAGAAAATAACAATAAGATAAGCTTCCATAAACTTAAATTCAAGTAAATGGGGTTTGCAAGAGATGCAAGAGAATAAGAATGTACTGTCGTTTCAGACGTTAGTCGTTTTTTCAGAGTAAATGTACTGCCTGTGACAGTACAGACAAACTCAGTCTAGTACTGACCCAGTTTCCGCGTGTCTATCCGACAGTTAATTACCTGCATGCTGGCGGTGATTTCTCTCAGTGCTGTATCAGCTTCTTCTTGTTTCTCTGCCAGTTTGACGCTTTGTTCAGCAGCCTTTTGAGTCAGGTCTGCCACCAGGTTTTTGGCATCTGTCAATTTAGCTACACCGGCCTACCAAAACAAAAGCAGCACAGAAAAGTTTTTTTACCCGTCTGCCATACAAGTTGAGATTCGATTAACCCAAAGGTTTGAATGAAAACAGACCATCTTCTTACAACTCCCTAAACCACGATCCAAGACATGAAGTGCAGCTCAATTTGGCGGAGGGAGGGGTCAATAGCATTTTATTCTCATGACTGTTAATAACTTTTTTGCCCTCCAAGTTGGGCTACACTGTCAGTCGTTGAAAGGTGCATCAGTAATTAATCGAACCTGTAAATGCTGTTGTCGTTTAACTACACCGTCTCGTTTGCCATTAAAGATAGCTTTGTAGTTATTGAGGAAAGTCATATACCGACGAGGCGCAGCATCCTTTTCGCTGCACATCTCATGGATGGACAGGAAACTCTTGACCAAGTCTTCACCCTTGAACTTGCTTCCTTTGCCTCCCTTGGCTTGTTCGTCGCCACTAGTGGATACTCCTTCGCTAGCCAGCAGCATGCGGGGAACTGGTAGAGATAATAAAAGAAGGGGAATATTTTGTGATGTAGGCTCTAGGCTTTTCCAAATAAAAGACGTGTGATTATGTTACAGTGCGTCAATCTATGTTTAGACCCTGTCAGTTCTCAGAGGATCATAGCCAAATTTTAGGCCCTCTGGGCGGAGAAGAAGAGACCGTCCTTCCCGCTCCTCCGTTCCGTTATTCTCCGCTTTAACGCAGGATATAAGATATCTTGTCAAAGTTGTTAAGTTCTGTCAAACTAATAAAGTAGGTATACTCACTTTGCAGCATACTTTCTTGACTCCATCTCTCCATCCACTGGAAGGCGCACGTCTTGTAGAAGGCAGGATTAGACTCACAATGAGCCTTGAAACTGGGCGATGAAGAATCCATGATCAATACAATATGTAGGTTGACACACACGCGGGAGGCGAAGTAAGATATTAAGTTACCACGGAAACCATCCTGGGATGCTTGATCCCTGAGGGGGGAGAGGAGGGGCTCTATTTCTTCAGGGGTGTAGAGGCCAGGGATTTCACCAGCACTGAGTAGACTGTTGATTAGTTCCAGCATGGCAGGGTCTACCAGGTGGTGATCTTCCAGTATCAGGGCCATCTGTTCTCCTTCTATACCTGCTTTCTGCATCACCTGAACGACGACATCGAACATGTTGAATGAATGTAACTAGATTTGTCAGTCTTGACAAAATAAAATTATCACCATCATCAACACCATCATCAGCATCAGCATCATCATCACAATCACCATCACAATCACCATCGCCATCGCCATCATCAACACCATCACCATCATCAGCATCACCATCATCAACACCATCACCATTATCAGCATCACCATCATCAACACCATCACCATCATCACCATCATCACCATCATCACCATCATCACAATCACCATCGCCATTATCGCCATCATTATCAACGTCCATTACCATGATCCGCATTACAATTATCATCCTCTTCATTACCCTCATGCACCATCATTACCATAATCATCATTACCATTACCATCATCAACATCAGTCATCCCTATCATAATCATCTTCATAAACCATTATTGCTTATCTATCTTACCTATACACAAAATCCACATAGAAACATATAAATGTTGGTGTGAAGTAGGTCAATAATCATCATATATTTTTGTCCTTACCAACTTAAGGTCGTTCTTAAACTGTTTAAGTCCATAGGAGCGCGAGACTTTAGGAGTGACCACTTCAATGTTATGCATGTGCGTTACTAGTGTTACCGCTGTCCTTCGTCCCACGCCACTTCGTCCAGCCAATAGTAGTGAGCCTCCGGGTAACGTTAGTGTACGATCAACACGGGCAATGTTGTCCAGGACTTCTTTAAACATCAGGATCTCTAGTTCACGGTTTTCTCGAGCTATCAAGGAAAAGAATCGTTATTCCCTCAGTTAGTCTTTCATTCATTCATTCTTTGTTTTATTAGTCTGTGAGTTGTCATCCAGCCAACCAGGAAGTCATTTGGTCAGTCAGTAACGAGTGGAACACATCAAACATGTTCTTTATTTGATGGTTACTTGAGGAAGCGGGGACGCAAGTGGGTTTTAAAAGCTTTTATGTTATGATACTATTTCTCACATTATTAGGGCGTTACTGACAGGAAGAGAGAGGGTAAGGAAGGAGAGCATACTAGACTTGCTACAGAGGAACGTACCGTAAGTCTTGATTCCTTTAGCTATGACTTGCTTGAAATCGTTTGGTTCCAGTTTACCCAGTTTTCTTCCATAAGAAGGCAAAGGACCCCCAATAGTAGAAACGCTCCCTTCAGCCTTGCCGGGTTCTCCACTGGGAGGAAGAGTCACATGTGCACCCCAGGTAACGAAGTATGTTGATTCTAATCGATCAAACGATACTGACCAATCAGAGCGTAGTTGAGAAGCCAGTATGCTACAACAATGACAATTCAAAATATTATTGGCTTGGATATCATTATTCAAGTATCAAAAAGCGGAACAGGAGGGTCTATCAAGTGGCAGCAGCCATGTTGGATGACAGGAATTAAATCATTCAGTTTCTCTAGGGAATCTAGCGAAAGAGATTCTGTCTGCCATCCAACATGGCTGCCGATACGTCATACCGCTGACCAACATCAAGTACATACCTATCAAATTTGTCCAGTCCCTTTTTACCAACCAGTCTGTCTCGGAACAAGCGCCTGGCTTCATAGGCACAAACCTCTAGCAGCTGATTAGCTGAGGTGTCTTCTACGCCTACCTCATACCGGAGTAGGCCTAGGACCCACAGAGTTAAGTCACGTGGGGTGAATAGATAGTGCGAGTAGTCGTCCACGGTGAACTTGGCGCGAGTCTGAAGAAACAGATTTTACAATTTGATAAAAGAATGATAAATTGTAATAATGTTTTACGCAACTATCCAGGAAAGGTAGCTGTACATGTGACGGAGCTGGAATTGAATATTCAAGCTCAAAGGGGGAATGAAAGATCCTGATGTTTCGGTAGATTTATCCAATTCTTGAAGAAGAAGAAATAACCAATTGTCTATTCATAAGATTCAATCCAGGATTATCAATGATATTGATGACGTAACCTGATGTAGAGTGACTATTATTACCCCCCTCTTACCTGTTCATATACAGATACCATGGTACCAGCTAAAGTCTGGATGTTCCTGATAGATCCCCACACAGGATGAGAGCTTAATGTTTTGTTCAGTACTGGATACAAGTAAGCACCGTATATGGCCTGCAGCTGGTTACGATCGGGATACCTTTATAAACAAAGTAAAGTTCATCATTAACTGAGACCGGAGGGTTAGATGTTACTGCACTTTTAGGCAAATAATAAAGGCTAATTAATCAAGGTATTATTGATGACCAGCTGACTTACCCAATAGCGCAGACTCGAACGATCGATGTAAATCTTGTAGTGATAATGTGTCTTCCCATTCCTGTACCAGCACTCATGGAAGCAACTACTTGAACACCCTCTAGTCCTACCCACTCTAGATTATCATCATAGAAACCCTTATAGGTTATCACCTATGTAAACAGTATAGGCAGTTAATAATAATAATCAGTATACTGGTGGGAGGAGGCACTACTTGAACACCCTCTAGTCCTACCCACTCTAGGTTATCATCATAGAAACCCTTATAGGTTATCACCTGTGTAAACAGAATATAAAATGGAGACTATGCACAGAATGGTATGTTCCTGGTAGAGGTGGTATCTTATGAGTAAGATGGTTATGAAACGTTTAAGAGGAAATTAGAAAATGAGAGGGAAAAAAAGCACTGGGGTGTGATGCAGAAGCAAAGCAGCGCCAAAATCCGCACAAAGGACCTGAGCTCACACCCTTGTGCTGACAAGGTCTTCAACCGCAGTTACTTCATGATTCTTTGACCAGATTTGTGCGTAACACACAGCAAAGGACTAGTTAATTGCTGACTTCTATAAATCAAACAGTTACCCAACTGAAGCTTTGATTCGAGGAATCCTAATTTAAAATCACCAAGTTTGAATTCGCGTAATTCTACAACTGGCTTTCAAAACTATTGACTTGTGATGATTACCTGTTGCAAGAAAGCTATCAACTGACTTGTTCCCCACTTATCAGGTTTGGGTAGATTGAGGTCTTTAAGGTAGAGTACTAATCGTTCACAGTCTTTAGGTCTATAGACACGACCAGTATTGGTGCTAATGACCATACACATTTGTTGAAGCTTCTGCAAGACGTGTTTGGGGGAGGACTGAGCACTACAGTGGATGACAGCCACCTGGGTTGAACGGAGCTGCTCGAAACAAGATCGCAGTAGTAACCTAGAAGAAAATAACACAATGAATTGCTTGGTAATCTGTATCCATACCCGTTATGAGTATAATAACATTGGAAAGTCCTCAAATAATAATCCTTATAATACTACCTGGAATAGAGTATTTGTGTTAGTAGTAGGTCAGGGGCGTAATTATGATGTCTCGATTAGAGGGGGTAGGGGGCAATGTACCATTTTACCGCCAAATCCACAGGAATCCCGCATGAATTAATTAAATTTTGGTACCAGGAGCAAACTTTTTTGGGGAAGGCACGTGCTCCCTGTCCCACTGCAAACGCAAGTGTAGTAAGTAATCTGACTTACTCTTTGCCGCATCCCTCAGGTCCCACGAGAAGGAAAGACTGTCGATTATCATTCTGCAGCCATGGAGAAAACAGGTCCAGACCTCGCTTGATATCAGCCGTCCTGATGACAGGACTACTGTTCTGACCTGTCAAGTCTTCCACAGACAGGGAATCAGGTACCTGGAAAAGATAATGGCTTGTCTTACATCATTACATGACATTTAAAAAATATAATACAATATCTATTTTTTCGAACTGTCTTTGACCCTGATCAGGTCTGTAGTTCCTAAGGCAGGACTGCTGTGACTTGAAGTGGTGTGATTGGTTCATTTTATGTCGTCACATCTGTATTCTAGTCATCGTGGCTACAGTATCCTTACCTCCAGTTCATAAGACATCAACCGCCCTTTGTCTGGGTCGTAGTAGGTATCTAGAGGTCGTTTGGAGTCTGGTGGCATCTCGTGTGTCCAGTGGAAAACCTGAAGATTTATATATCGTTAGGTTAAATATACTGAAGTTACGTTTAAACAAATACAACAGTAAAACCAGCAATAGCAACAACAATATCAAAAAAGATTAAATACTAAATGAAATGTGTGCTTACTTCTTTAGCAAAGGAGGTCTGACTATTGGCTGACAGATTAGCACCTAGTCCTCTAATAAGACTACAAACGAACTGTTGCTTGACTCGTACACCATGCATGTGAGATAACCCATTCATCACCAAACCAACCCTCGTTGTCTCTACCACCAGGTCGTTCTGCTTATACACCCAGTCTAGAGCCTTGTAGAAGTAATCTTCTAACCACGGCTCCAGGACACGCCTTACTTCTTCAGATTGGTTTTGAAGCCAGGACCTGACCAGTGCCTTGATGTCTGTGTCCTCCTCACTAGAATACATTACAGTAATATATATTGAACGATAACAAATAATAAAAAGTTGTGGACTCAGTAAACATACGCGCGCAAGGTAGATTTTCATGAGGGACTCTGAATCAGGTAGAGCTGATTTATGTGTTTCGCCACATTTCATGTCGATCCTTGTAAAGATTATATTTTCAGAGTTAGAGAAACCAAAACAAAAGAAGATACCGCGGCTGCACTTACCTCAAGAAGATCATTCCCATCCTAGATATAGTAGCAGGAGATGCACAGCTTAAATCATGAGACTCAAACAAGAAGTTCACGTTTGGCCCAAACTGAATACGCTCCCCGGAGGGCATGGTAAGGAGTCTGTTATCATCCAGGACCGAGTTGAGAGATTCTATCCACTCGGGATCGATGTCGCCATCACAGATTATCCACGACTGGATATCGATTGGTTCCCGAACTACTTGCCTGGCTGCATTGGTTAGAACTCCGTCAGACCATTCTCGAGTGTCCATGTCAATTTGACCAAGCAGCTAACAAAATAAATAATTACGATGGTATTCAGTTTCGAATTATATTCTCGAGAGAAGGGCATAAGGTTTGTAAGGCTAAAATATGTACCTGTGTCCTGGGCATGGCTTTAGGATTCATTGTGTATTGCTTGACCGTCTGTCCAATCTTTCCAAGTGCAATCCTTAAGATCTTCCAGATGGTACTCTTACCAGACCCTGAAGGTCCAATAATAACCACGCCCATCCGTTGTTTTAACTGCTCATACAGTTCAAGGGCTTTCTTGACTTGTGCTTCCATGACAACCAAATTACTCTCTTGAGCGGCAGCTCTTAGTGCTTCTGCTAGCTGTTCATATTCCACACCCTTGACGTCTACCCCTGGGAAGACGTCGAGTACCAAGGCATCAAATCTCTTGGAGTCGGCAAAAGTGAGCTTAGAGAGGGTATTTACCCGAAGTGCTTGTACTACGACACTGGTCTCAACGGTAATATCCACTGCAAGAAAAATGTGCATGATAACGTTACTGTTAAATGTAAGCTGAAGATATGAAAAGGTACAACTACTTAGTGATTCCTATAAGGGTTACCTTTATTGCCGGCCTGTTTCTGTGCTTGTAATAGATTACCACAGCCTCGTAACACAGTCTTCAAAGCACGCAGACCCCAGTCATAGTGTTGCTGACGTGAAAGAAGCTCCCTGTGATAGAAAATATTATTATAGTACAACTTTGTAAAGTAGAAAAAAAAAATACGTGAAAACTAAAAATTAAAGAAATTGTACGAATTTTTAAAACGCAGAGTCCTAAAAATCAGGAGCATAATTGGATCCATTCGATTTTGACCCGTGTTATTCGCTAATTGCATCCATTCGATTTTGACCCGT